TAAAATATGTATATGGGATATGTGAGATTTAATAAACACGAACTTAAATATTATAAATGATACCGTGCTCTACTGATAATAGCAACATCGAATTTTTGCATAGAATTTTAACATCTGAAGTAAAGCATAAATTAAAGTTTGTATATTTTTATTTTGGAAACAGTTATCTTCCAAAGCCAGCTTAACCCACAATCGCCTTGCTCTTTGTGATATTAGCAGTTTGTACTTTGTTTTTCCGAGTAATTTCCCGTTAATGTGTCTTCCAACGGGGCCTTTCTTGGAGTCGTGTTTGGTGAAGGGCAACTTGAAGGTGCCAACTCGTCACTCGAAATGAGGGGTAAGCTGACACGAAGCCACCAAGCTTGTCTTCGAAAGGCCGAGCATTAGAACAGAAAAATGATATTGTATCATGTACCGTCTTGGTTAAACTCTGGCAGGCAGGCAGAATGATCAATACATCTGATCATTCACTACTCACAACTACTACTGCTGATTGCAGAGGTCGAATAGTCGAGCTGGCGGGGATGGTGTTTGTTGGCAGGACTGGCGCCACAGGGTGTCGAACAACTCAGTGACGAGCCTGCGATCGGCGAGACTCGGCAACTGGGAGCAGAGCGAGTGAACAGACAGAGGCATAACGACGCCCAGAACGCCGGAGGCGGAAAGCCGAGGCGGGCGGATCGATCCGCGGAGAAAGGGGAGGCAGGAGGGGCATCAAAGTGAGGACAAACAAGCGCCGCCAAGTCGCCATTTTCCATTCGTATCATCTCAACGTGATGCAAGCCAAGGCCCCTCCTTTCAAGCCAGTGACTAACCAAAGGCCAATTGCATGCAATGCGGTGAGTAATGATTATACATCGATTACCTGCCCGACCCATCCCTTCCTTCTTTTCGTTCTCTCTTTCGCTCTCTCTCTCTCCTTCGCCGAGACAAACTGACAACCGTTCGACTTGGCGTTTTTCTCCGGCGCAAGCACCAACTCGTCCCAGATAGGCGAGGAGGGTCTGCGTGTCTGACCAGCGCCAGCGCTTGACCCGACCTCTTTCATCCCGCGCTCTCAAAGGACGCATTCTCATGTTCTCTCTCTCTCTCTCTCTTTCTCTCAACATTCCTCACAGTAACTTGGTTCTAACCGGTTCATTGTCTCTCTCTTTCTCTTTCTCTATCAGTCTCTCTG